ATGTGTATTGCTGCCCATGTACAGCCTGACAGAGAAAATGGAGAGGGAGTTGCTGGATTTGTGTATCACTGGTTGTCAGTTCTTAATGTTGTTAAGCCTCACACAGGTGTGCTAGCATTGAACTGTAGAGTGTCACATACCTGAGTTTGAAAATAAAAGCACATTACTAAACCTTTGGCAGAAGCCAAACGCCTCCTCATTTTATGGAGCTGGGCCATGATCATACTTCAACCCTGAATTAGATGCCTTTGGGTATTAGTACCTCCCAGAACCAAGCCAGGCATCCCCTACCCTTGGTCTTTGTACTATGGGCTACCCAAAGGGCTGGATTGGTTCCTCTCCTTTCATTCCCCATTCCTGATCCTAGTTTCCTATCCTTCTTGGTCTATGATTTTTTTAATTAATACACTGTTCTGTGCTACAGAGTGCTGAGTTTTCAACAACCTGATTTCCACAGTTTGCCTACATTTTTTGGTCCTTCTTGCAGCTAGATGCAGGGGAATGTGGACCTTTGGGATCTAGTTCCCTAAAAACAAGCTCTCTTGTCCAATACATTATACCATCTTTATTTACTTCTCTGCTTACCAAAATCAGAAGATTCTGGTGAGGACTCTGAGGCCTGAGAAGATGGCAAAACCACTAGGTGGAGCTGGGTCTTTGAATGGGTACAACATTGAACTGTGACATGAGCAAGATATAAAATTTCAGTGTCTTAAGCCACCGAGATTCAGGAATGTTTGTTATAGCTGCTTAGCCTACCCTGACTAATGCATACATTTGAACGAGGATACTTCAATAACAAAATTTCCAGTAGAAGAAAACAAGAAACTAATACTAGGAGCTGGAAAGATGGGGCCCATGTTGTGAATAAAACTAAAACACGTGGTAAAGTCTTACCCATGATAACTTGAAAGGCAGTCTGTGGGCAGCCGATAGTTCCAGGAGAAGTGTTTGGAGAATCAGTGAGTTGGAGTATGTGAACCTCTACTGGCTGCCTGTGGCAAGATATTGTGTGAAAAAGAAGCACTTTGGAAAGAATTGGCTACCTGGAAACAGAAATGATAAAAAATACATAGAGTATTCAGTAATTTGAAGGATTGAAGGATTAGAAAACTTAACTGCTTCTAAATCCCAAAAAGTAAGACTAAGAGGATCTTTGAGTGAAAAAGAATCAATAAAATTTCTCAGTTGAACAGATCAACTCAGCCTTATGGCAAAGACTAGATTAAGGATATAGCCAAAGCATTTGTGGTTTCAAATGAACTTGGTGTAGCCACCATTAAATTAAAAAGAGAGAGAGGCGTGTGGCTGAGAAAGCAAAGAAATACATCCTGAGAATTACGACTGGGAAAGGATTTGGAGTATGATTTTGGGCACATGGAATCAAAGGGAAGCAAATAGATCAGAAGTCTAAGTTTGTGGGGGCCGGCCCGGTGGCGCACTGGGTAGTGCGCCGCTTGGGAAGCGCGG